TGTTCTTGAAAAGATTCAATCATTTGAAGTTTATTTGAAATAATGTGCTCAGCAGCTAATTGTTGAGTAAAATCACCAATAACACTCGCTTCATCATATTGTTTTTGTAAATAATTAATTTCAGTTTGTAAAATTTGATGGTTTATTGAATCAATAGAATCTAATGATGAAATTTGTTGATGATTGATATTGAAAATGAAACATTTGATATGGTGATTCTTGTTGCATGAATGTTTGTATTTCTAATTGGTGTAATATCGCAAAATATGGTATTATTGGTGGTAATAAGTCTTGTTGAGAAGTTAATTTATGTAATATAAGTAAATGTGGAGATATACGCTTGGATAGACGTTCGTATTGAACAGATTCAGTAATTGTATCTATGGCTAAACAATAGAAACACGTAGTGGTTCCCATAAACTATTCGACTAGATTTTTTTTCATTTTTATTTTCACTATCGTCAACGGATGTGGGTGAGAGAAACAGACCCATTCACACACACTCGAATGGATTAGTTTTAGCTTTCCGTTGATCGTTCACGTTTTCTAAAATACACCGTCTGAAAACTCAAAAATCAAATTTTTCATCTGATGGAATTCTATTTGAACTACTTACGATCATACAAGAAATAATTCTCTACAAAACAGAATGTCTTCCGATAGTGTACGACTTATTTTCACTAAGATACATCTATGTTACGGAAGTTATCAAAGTCACTCTTCTGTTACTTCGTATATTAAAGCTTTTTTATGCCTTCCGTGAGATTGATGTATCTCAATTAAAATAAGTCGTACAGAGTTGTATGGTGTCTTTGCTCTATCATTCTATAGAATTCAAAAAGCATTGTGGTTATAAATTCTAGGAAGCAGAAAACTTGGTTTTTCGGAGATCCTATCTTAGAAAAACTAGCCGTCCTTGTTATCTTGGAAAATTACTGTTGGAAATAAAATTCCCTACACAAATTATTATTAGAGTTCTTCTTAGCAATGACAACATCGGAAAACGATTGAAACTAAACCAGATCAAACAATTTTGGGAACCACTGTATATAAACCTCTCTGTTTCATTTGTTTAAGTAATTCTTGATTTTTGCCGTGTTCAAAATCAAACATAAATAATGAATGAAATTGATTGATTGTCTCATTTAGAATTGCTTGCATTTTAATAATTAATTCTTTTTGATGTGCAAATTCATTTTGTTGTTTTGTTAGATTGTCCATTTGTTCACGAACAAGACTATCAAATAATGAGTATCCTCGTGCTATAGAAATTTCGTCTTCAACATGTTTTTATTTGTTTTCATTGTTAATTTTTTGTTTATTTAAAATTTGTTCATAAGTTTTCAAATGATCGAATGTTTTGCTAAATTGATTCGTATTCAATAAACTTGAATCAGAAGTCTTTGAATGAAACATAGAAACGAGATCATTAGTGATTTGTTGAATTTTCATTGCATAAAATTCATGATGTATATTAAATGGTTCAATTTCTGATTGTTGAATATATGCATTTAATGAACTTAAATGATCTTCCTAGAATGAAAAGTAACAAAGTGTCGTGAAATATAACTATATTAATATTTAACTATATGTCTAATCAGGAAACACTTATTTTTGCTCTCATCCGAGAACGTCATTAACCATAATCTTCAATAAAAATCAATATTTGAGTTTGAGCCCAAATTTTTAGTCTTTTGACGATGATATATACTTCATTTGTGCTACTTCTTAATGAGAATGTCTCTCTGATGACCTTGTTTATATAGTAAAAATATTTTAGGTAAAAGGTTTTGACAAAAATTAGACATTAAATTGATTATTGTTT